TGATGGGGCATCATGTCTGACCTGTGCCGCAGCCGGCTGACCCCACATACACTGGGCTCCTGTCCAAAGGTCATGGACTCTGGTTTTTGAACATTAGGCCCAAAGGGCTTGCTGGACTACCAGGTCCCTGGTGGTGTTGGCTGGCGTCCCCAGACTGGGGTGCACTCACCTGCCCGGGCTGAACACCAGCTCATGTCCCTTCTAGAGTCACCCAAGAAGAATATGACGTGAACCTGTTTTATCAGAGCCGCAGACCTTCCTTGAGACAGAGCAGTGGCGTGGTTCCATGGTGCGCAAGGCTGGGCTGGGCTTTGAAGTCACAGTAGAGATGTCCACCTGCTGACCTCTGAGATGGGAAGAATGTCTTTTCGAGGGCTGTGCTCCCAATTATTTTTATCTGAACGCAGCTGTACCGGCTTCTCCTTCCTTATTTTTATCCCTGCCTGATTTCTCTCACTCCTGCCAAGGCTTCACTAATCCCTTAAGGCCAGAATCACTTAAATTAAGCCATTAAAAATCAAAGCAATATCAGCAATGCGGCTCTTGGCTAGGAGGAACCAGGCCTCAGTCCCAAGGCCCAGAAAGCCCAGTCTGGCATGGTCAGAGCTGGAGGGCAAGAGGCCCAGGACACCCTGGTGTTGCATTAAATCAGTCTCAAACTGAACTTCGTTTGTGCCGTGTGCTCAAGGAGCAACGGTGTAGCAGTTGCCTCCACTGGTGTAGCAGTGCCTCCACTGAACACCGTGCCTCTACTGAACACTGTGCCTCCCAGGCCCTGGGAGGATGCTGATGATGAGGAACCTGGTGGGATGCACTGTGCTCATGAATTTTTAATCAAAATCACTTAAAGGAGAGCCCCTTCTTGCTATGATACCTGCCAGCGGGTAGCAGTGGCCTGGCTGCCTCTTGGGGCTCCTCAAGTGGCTCCAAGATCTCATCAGTTACGTTCTGCTCTGCTGGGCGTGTGGTCCTCAGTCATCCACAGCTCAGCAGTCAGTGGGGGTCACCCCATCCACCCCCTGGCCCCAGCAACATTTCTCATCAGCTCCTACCAATAGTAACAAAAAGGAAGATCTGATTCAGAGTAGGATGGATGGAAACCCCATCTTGATCAGAAAGTCACACTATTCAGTTTTTAGGACCCTGAGAACCGAGCCCCAACGGGCATGGTCACTACTCGGTGGACACCGTGAAAGGCCTTTTGCTTTGGGCTCTGCATTGCATTGCACAGAGGAGGGAGACAGGAACACACACTCTGGGGCACATTAGTCCTCGATACTTTCCATCTTGACCTTTGAGAAAAACCGTTTTCACAAGTGTGCTCTCTCTAGGCTGCTCCATTGGAGCTCCAAGTACTGGTTTGCTGTGCGATCCCTTGTATTTGCTTTATAGCATTAGACATACCGAGTTTCAACTAGAGACCAGGTTTCCAGCAAACCTGTCAGAAGGCCCCTCCCCTCTGGCTTTATTGAGGTGCTGACCCACGTCTCAGGTGGCTCCATGTACCCGGGTAGCCCCCTAGGCCTCCCTGAGCCTCCTGACCCTCTGCCGCATGGAGCGTCCTATGTTTGGTCCCCAGGAGTTGGCAGACGCCAACAAAGATGGGGTCTGGAGCCTGAATGCCACAAGCACAGTCCCAGACAGCCTCCCCACTGCCTGGCAGATGGAAATCAATCTTCTCTGTCTTTCCTGGCTGCATGCATTGTTGCTTCCTGCTGGATTCGGGCTTGAGCTGGTCAAGGGTCCTGGGGAGTAGAGCCCCCGGGCTGACTGCCTTCCAGGTACAGCACGACTCAGAGCAATCCCCACACTGGGTCAGCAGTACTTGGCATGTGAGCGGCTGGTTTGGACTGGTTGGCTGTTTCAGGAGAGTTTATTTGGACAGGAGGAGTGTTGGTGGAAGCAGGGTCCTGGCTTTGGGCTCCACCTAAGCCAGTGACCAGGTGTCTCAGTGGCTCAGCTGATGGCCTTCTGCCTGCATGCTGCTGCCATCAGTCACCCGTAGCCAATCTGAAGGGTCACCCCCAGGGTCCTCTCTTGTCCACTCCTGGCATCACCACATAGATGGCATGCGTACAATCCAGGGAATCATGGAATCACCGTCAACCAGTGTGATCTTAAAACAGTCCTCAAATGATTAAGCCCTGTTAACTCTTTTTATATTACTTAGAAAATGTATCAGAAAACCATAGTCACTTGTTGATACTAAAATGATGGAAAACTTTTTTAAAATGAGAGGAAGCGCCTGGTTGGCTCAGTTGGTTAAGGGTCCGACTCTTGGTTTCGGCTGCAGAGAATACGAATCCTACCAGACCCAGGTCATTTGTATGTCCTGGGAAGCCAGGGGCAGGGAGCATGAGTCATCCCACAGCTACCACCGCCAGCCCTCTAAGCATGCTGGGTGTGCCTACGTCCCCATATTGAAGGGATCCTCCCACCCCCCAGTTTCCTTGTCCTGTGGGCAGTAGTCAGCATGGCTGATGACGGCTTCCCCTTGGAAAGAAACACTTGCTTCCCTGGGCCTGGAGACGCCAGCAAGGTTTTCCTTCTGTCCCTGAGGCCAATTGCTCTGCCACATTGTGGGGTCCCTGTAAGACATGGGTCTGGTCTCACCTCTGCCTTTCTCCCATCGCCTCTCTTTGCCTTCAAGGTAAAGATCAGAACCCTCATGGTAGCCCAGGGATCCATGAACAGCCTGCCTCCACCATCCTTAGGTGCTTCCCGCTTGTCCCTCCTCCAGGCTTTCCTCTTCCCAGCCTTTTCAAGCAGGCCAAGCTTGCCTCGCCCAGCCTTTGCCTGGCAGGCCTCTGCTCCTCCCTCACCCACCCTACCCTCACCACCACACCTCACAGGCCTGCGTGCAGCTCACAGAGGCCCTCTCTGGCCCCAGCCCCCAGGTTGACGTCCCTGCAGTGTGTTCCTGTGGCCCTGCCTCTATCATGACACGTGCAAAGCTTGTCCCCCAGTATGAGCACCATACTGGGGCCAGAGGCTGTGTTTGTGCCCTGAGCCGGTCCTGACAGGTGGTCAGCAGAGGTTAGTGAGCACCAAGAACAGGCTCCATCCGACCACAGCAACCCTATACCTTGGCTGCCCATCACACACAGTTCTGCCTGCATGGAGGGGCAAGAGGGGCGTTTCCCACGAACTCACCACCCCTGCCCCGCGCCCACTCTAGGGAGTGAACGAAGGGCCCTGACCTTTCTCCCAGGGCCATACAAGGAGAGCTGCAGGTCCTCCACACCCGGGGGGACCTGGAGCCGGGAGGCCACACCTGTGGAGGGCCTCTGGTCCCTGCCTGAAGCTCTGTACAGTCCTGGCCAGCTGTGGTGAGCTCCCCCGGCAGCTCTCCTGAAAGGAAATGGTCCTGAGCCTTTAGTGGTGTCCGTCTCCTCTGGCTGCTGTGCCGAGCAAGCAAGAAGTCTCTCTCTGTTCAGCCTAGCTCCCACGCAGCTTTCTGGAAACATGGCGTCTGTGTGTCAGCCGTAGGGACGCAATCCATGAAGGGGCTGCCTTTGAAAATCAAAGTGGTCTCTCACAGGAGGGACTCCTGTGAGACTTGGAGTTGCCTGGGAGATGTGAGGGAAGTTACATGCTTGCACATTCTCATTCTGCCGGCACCCCGTTGTCCAAATAAGAAGAAGAGGTAGACTTTCTGGCTTCTCAGAGGTGTGGATGTGCTGTGGTCTCTGTACCTTTCCTGGTCTGCTGAGGAGGGCAGCTGACTGTCTGGCAAGGCTGCCGTTCGCACACGGAGCTCATCAGCGGAGCAAGGTCAGAACTGGTCAGCGAGTTCATGAGAAATGCGGCCCTCAGCCCCCACGCAAGCAAGAAAGGGTCCCTTGCATTGTATGGTGGTCCTGCTGACCCAGAGCAACTGCCGGGGCCTCTCTCATTCCATCTTGGTGATTTCTGCTTCTAGTGACCTTCACCCACCTGAGGACTACACCTGCTGTCATGTCCATCTCTGCCAGTCAGAGCAATGGGCAGGCCCCCCGCAACCCACTCCCCCACCTGCCTGGTGGCATGGGCCGCTCCTGAGGCTTATTCTAGGCCTGCCTGGTTCCCCGTTCCTCTGGATGCAGTTCCCTCTAGAATCCTTGTCCCTTGTTGGGGGGCCTAAAAGCGACCCTCTAGGAAGGGAGGAGACCCCTGGCTCCCTCAGCTTTGAGGGTCATGGATCCCACCCGCCTCCTGACACCCCTAGACACCCCCATCTGTACCAGTTTCCTGGGGCTTCTCTAACCGTACCACAAACCGGGGGCGCTCAAAGCACCAGAAAGTGATTCTCTATCAGTTCTTAGGTCAGAAGTCTGAAATCGAGGAGTTGGCAGGATTGGTCGCTTCTGGTGACTGTAGGAGAATCTCTCCCAGCTTCTAGCTGCTTGGATCCCTGGCCTCACTGCCATCTCAGCCTCCGTCTTCACATGGCCTTTCTTCCCCTCTGGGTATCTCTGTTCTCCTGTCTCTTAGAAGGACACTCGGCACCAGATTAGGGCCCACTGTAATCAAGGGTGGTCTCATCTCAGGATCCTTACCTTAAACACTATCCTCAGAGACTCTTATTCCAAACAAGGTTCCCTTCACAGGTATCGGGGACTACGGCTTGGGCATCTCTTGGGGGGACATAGTTCCACTCACTGTGGCATCCAATACCTCTCCCCAGGAAGAGGGGTGCTGCTTGGGGAGGGCTGAGGCAGGACGGGCAAGGCAGGTGGTGAGGGGTTGGGGACAGCATTGCGCTTTGCGGCTGGGTCTCCAGGATTCTCTGTGCAAAAATCCCCTCAGCAAGATCATCGTGCTTTGTTTGGGTCTTCTTTGGCAAATGCAGGAGCAACAAAAAACCCAGACATGTGGGACTTGAGAGTTCTGAAGGCTGGAAGGTGAGGCCGGTGAGGGGAGAACAGGTGCCTCTGGGCTTCAGCCTGACTTTGCCTTTCTCTTCCCTGGGGCAGGAGCCTCCTGTCAACTCACTCCTGTCCTATCTTGTCTGTTTCCAGGACTCCTCTTCCTCGCCCGGACCCGCCCCAGCGGCTGAACAGCAAGGCACCACTCCCAAAGTCCAGCTGCCCCTCAACGTGTGAGCTGCCCTTTCTGTTTTCGGGGTCCTGTGCCTTTGGCTCCTCCCTCCCACCTCTGCTAGCATGTACACGGATGGTTTCTGGAGGATTTCTGATTTGTTATCAACCGGTCCGTTAGTCAACTAGTCAGTTAGTCAACTAGTCAGTTTAGTTGCATCCTGCAATACTGCTGACAAGAGAGTGTGGAAAACAAAAGTCTAGCAGGTTCTTTCAATGTCACTGTCCCCGGGACATTTATAAGAAGGGGGATATTCAGATTTTGAGGGGCGCAGGCACTGGCCAGCCAAGGCTCACCAGCCGTAGCACGGGGATGTTCTCGGGGGGCTGGGAGGACAGGGTGAGGGGGCAGTGGGGGCCCGAGCGGCAGGCGGTCTTGTCAGCCCGGGGCAGTGGCTAGTTACCCAGTGCTCAGACGTAGCTCCGTGTTTCGCAGCCACGACTGCCCCACGGTTCTGGCAACTTATATCATCGCAGCTGCACGTCATCCCCAAATAGAACCAGATGAATCAGTGCCAGGAAGCGAGACGCTTATCTTGTTTAGAAAATTTGCTCTTGTCAAATCACAGCTCTTAAGAGCTACGTGCCGTTTAAAAATTCTCCATTTAAATAGTGTGCTGAGAAATTAGACTGCCTTCTACTCTTTTATTTGGCAATGAGCTCAGTTACTTGAATGAATGTTTTGAGGTGGAGAATATGAATCTGGCAAACAATATGGCAAAGTAGATCATCCCACAGCCCCAGTGCTGGTCAAAAGGACACTTAGAACCTGCCCTTTTGCCAAACAGAAGGTATTCCAAGCGAAAAACAAAAACAAACAAACCCAAAAAATGCCTCTTGAAAAAGTAAGTTGCAAAGCTTCAGAAGGTTTCCTAGAAGCTTTGGCAGATAGGAAATCCCTGAGCATCTCCCTTTATCTGCCCATGCTGTGACTGCGTTATTCCCACAACCAACGAAACAAAAGGAAATCAAGACTTACCTATTTTTTACCTAGCTTCCTGAAGGGAATATAGATTAGTAAGCTATGTTTAGGTGTCTCTAGGTTGAAATTCAACTTTTCACCATCATTGGACAGAAGGTGCTATCTTCTGACCTGGTGTCCTAATAAGCACCAATGGCTTCCACTCATACCTGGGAGGGCCAAGGAGGAACAGGGAAGGACTTTGCTCTTCTTGAAAAACTGGATGCAGGACCCCATCCCTGAGGAAGCAGACCAGCATCCCCAGGAGACTGTGAGGCACTAATGTGGTTGCCCAAATGAGGGGCAGGACACAGGAAGCTCTTCAAGGACAATGCCCAGGTGTTTCATTTTGGGGTCCCCCCCACAAGAATGCCTGGCACACAGGCTCTTTCAGTAACTTTTTCCTTGTTCTGATGGCCAATGGTTTCCCATCCAGGGTGCAGAGGGCTTCTGGTATCAGCCCAAAGCCTCTGACTCTTACACATCAGATCAGCCACCAAGAAGGCTGCTCTGTCTTTGAGACCCAAAGGTTATGAACGCAGTCCAAGAGTACTGTGAGTATATACTTGAGGCCTCAGCCATGCCCAGGCCTTCTGTGTCGTGGAGGCTTTTTAATTTGGTATAAGTATGGAGTGACCTCTTTCTCTTGTCCCTGCTCTGCCCTGGAAAGTGAGGAGGCCACTGTAGTTCCCAGCCCCCTGCCCCCTTCCCCATCCACCTCCCCCCAGAGCACAGAGTTCCTGTTTGGGTGGAGATTTTCATCTGAGTAACAGAAGGGAAACTGATGAGTCAGATAATGTCGTTGAAAAGATGGCAAGTACGTCTGAGCAACAGATGAGTCATGACCGGTGTGACCCGGATTGTCTGTTGAGAGTTAAACGTGAGCTCACTGTGGCTGTGGAACTAGCTCCGGGGCAGGGGCACCCCGTACAGCATTCCACAGGATCCATTTTGAGAGTGTGACCTTTGAAATCACAAGTTTTAATTTGATTCCCAGGGAGGAGAAGATGAGGCTGACCTCAACCCAGCAAGTAGGGGACCAGCCTGCCCATCCTCCTTAGCTCCAACAAGTCAGCCGTCCCACGGGTATGGTAACAGGTCTCTGGGGGAACCATGGTTGCTCTTTATCTGACTGTTATTCCAAAAGCGAACACAAGTCACGTGCAAAAGTTTGAGACTGAACGTGAGAAGAGCTGCCTTCTAAAAAACAGCTGCAGCAGCAAGTATGCCACTGGGAGCTGGGGGTCTGCACATGGGAACGACCCCGGGGCCTCGGGGAGTGCCCCACGGTGTGGGCTGAGGTCAGTCAGTGCTGCAGTCCCTCCCATCGGCCCTCATTCAGTAATCCTCGTAGCACGTGGGTTTGACCACCACAGGTCAGGTCCTATGCCTGGGTCACGAGCCCACGTGATTAAAAGACTGGACCCCTCAGTTCTGCCTTAGGTAGCAGGAAGGTCTTACGTCCTTCTCCTAGCATAGAAAGGTGTGTGCTGGCACGGCCTTTCAGGGACCCAGTGGCCCTGAAACACAGAAAAGGGGTCTCAGTTTGCCCATGCAGTGCATGGAGGTGGCTACTGGTCTTCAGATCTGTGGGGTCTGTGCCCTCCCTGCTAGCTTTTATAGTGTTGGGAAGCCACCCAAAGTCCACCCCTGCTATTGGGCTTGCTGTGTTTCGTCTGCATGAGCCAGCGTGCCTCCCAGGGACCAAAACAAGTGTCAGGTCAGGGAAGGTCCATCTGGAAGTGCTACAGCGTTACAGTACGCTTGTGAGTAGGCCCACTCAGACTGGGGCTTAAAACTCTCCCCTCCACTTTAATGCAGGCGTCTGAGAGCCAGACAGGGAAGTGAGGACCAAAGGGGCAGGAAGAGGGGAGGGGGCTGAGCCAGTCTCTTGGAGGCTGTGCTGAGGACTCTCTCCTGCTGGAGGGGCAGATGCACAGGTGTCAGGTGGGCCAACACAAGCCGGACGCTGCTCCCTGTTTGTCCCAGTGCCTGTGGGTCTGCGTACCTGTGAGCCAAGGGCAGGCAGAGCTGTGGGCTCTGAGAGCCTCCTCGCTCAGAAACCTGAGCGCAGCTCACCATCTGGGAAGGAAACTTCCACAGACAGAGGGGTACAGTTTACCCCTGGGGGAAACCCAAGAGCCTCCTGAAGTATGTGACTGCTTGTATGCCACCTGTGAGGTCTGGGAGTTGCTTCATGGGAGCCAGAGAAAGCCCAGGAGGGTGGGGCGAAGGGAGTGGGGCTGCCTGCGGACTGGAAGTCCTGGGTGAAGGGCTGGCCACTCCATGGCTTCGTGACATTTCCCCAAATGCTCCCTGTTCTCCTCCCGAAGAGTGTGCACCTGCAGTCAGCCTTGTCTGCAAGCTGGCATCAGCTCACTCCTCTCCAGCTCGGCTGCCACCTCCTACAGGAGACTTCAGTGGCTTTCTTCCCTGACCCCATTGCATCCCCTGCAGACCCTGACATGCACCTGTGCTGTCTCCACCTTCCCCAGAGTGGGTGCTCCTGGGGCAGTCTCCTCCACCACCTGGCCACACATGGCCGTCATTCTGTAGACATCCGTCGAATGGTACAGTCAACTTGCTAACCTGAGCTGCTGCGACCCTGGTAACCAAAAGGGCAAGAGCAGAACGCTTCACAGGAGTAACTGAAAAGAATCTTTTACTTATTCTAGAAGAAACATGAGCAAGCCATATAGAGGAGAAAGGGTGTGAAATTAATGAAGGCACTAAAATACTTCAATTCACTCCTTGATTAGAGCTGAAGAAAACTGTAGATAATTAACACAAGTGAACATCTTGCTACAGAAATGAGCAAGTGATGCGGGTGAGTGACAGTGTCCTTGGAGATGTCCAGGAGGCTGCTGGTAAAAGCAGACAGTGTGTGATGCCAGGCTGAGGGGCCACCGCTGACGGATGCTTCCATGTGCATGCCCTCCGTCCAAGAGCACCCCGGGGGAGGAGGTGGGGGGCCTGACGCCCACCCTCAGGCTCACCCCTTCAGGCTGGAGGAGGAGTATAACCTGAAAGCCCCATATAACCCACAGGATGGTGGGAAAGAAGGCTCTCTGAACCACATTCTTCTACGATTGCCTTCAATAAGGTATTTTTAGTACCAACCTTTGTGTGTGAAGTGACTTCTGGGCCTGCGGGAGCCGTCCCTGTCTGACCCACACATGTTTTTGAGATGACCCTGAGCTGTCGTGGAAGTCTGTGTGGAGCTGAAGAGGCCTTCTGAAGCAATAAAAAGTGAGCGTGGGCCCTGGGAACCGTGAGGATGAGGACCGTATGGGGGCTGCCTCTTCCGTGCCAGCCTGCATGGCCCCTGCAGGCTCCAGGAGGACCGGCCTGGCACTCTGAGCACTGGGGTGGGGTATCCAGCCAGCTCAGAGACCGTCAGCAAGGCCGTTCTGGCTGTGTGCTGCAGAGGGGACAAGGGCGGAGAGGGAGCGAGGAAGTGGCACTGCTGTGGCTGTTGGTGCGCAGAGCAAGGACCAGGAGGGCGGGAGGTGTCTGGCTCGCCGTGGGCGGGGCCATCCCTAAAGAAAACGGATCCCCCCACCCCTCCCAGTGCCCCTCCCCAGCATGAGCCCTGGGCCAGGGACATCTACAGACACCTCGTGCAGAAATGAGGACCTGCACAGCCATCTGCTTCTGCTTTTCTCTCTGAGGCACCCAAAGGAAAAAGAAGTGGGAGGGGCAGAGATTTTTCAAGGTGAAGTCAGATTTATTTACATTCCAGTTCCCCTAGCAACGCACACCTAGAGGCCAGACTTGAAGTTTTGAGACTAGAGGAGAGCTCACTCGTCCACAGAACAAACTGGAAATAAAGATGGAAAGAGCACGTGCATCAGTGTCCTGAGGCAGACCAGAGCAGTGCCTCCCCGTGCCGTGGCCACAGGAGCTCCCTGGCTCCAGAACCCAGCCTGGCCCAGCCTGACCTCGGCGGGGCCCGCCAGCCTCCCCCACGGCCTCTCGTGGTGCCCTGCCCATTGGCAGGACGTAGAGCCCCGCCTGCTTCCCAGTCGCTGCAGAAACACAGATCCTCACCGTTCGGAGCCTTCGTTTTCTCAGCTGTGATGTGAGGTTCACCCTGGCAACAAGTTCACATGGGGCTTAGGCAAGATCCTGTGAGATGTTGACATCTGCGCTCCTGCCCTCGTCCGGCCGGGCTGGTGGCCCACGGCATGACTGTTCTTAGGGCTACCGGACAGACCTCTTATAAAGAAGGTGCAGTTAGAGTTTTTGAGGTACAGCTGAGAGTTAAAGACGTGTTTTGAAGAAGAGGAGTGTGTCGTCCCTTGGAGGTGATGGCATTCCTGGAAATGACACTGTTAGCCCCCAAAGAGGCCTGTCCACTGAATGTTGAATGAGTAGAAGACCAGAAACTGTGAAGGAAACACCAGCTTCCGCAGCTAAGAATCCAGATCTCCCATGTGAAGAGACTCAAGGTAGCACGAGATCCAAGCCTGTCTGTTCGCAAACTAACGGCCGTGATGCTGTCTGTCAGCAGGTCCCATGCTAGAGCGTGTGACAGGCGGGCTGTGGCGCTGGTGTCGGTACCCCTGCTCCAGGGCTCGGTACACCCACACGCTTAGCCCAGTCGGACAGCCGGGGCAGCGGTGTCCCGCCACATTCATCTCCAGGTTTGGTCTTTTTCCTGTTTTTGTCATCAGGAACTATTCTGTGTTCCTTTGAAATAACAATGGAAGTTTGATAGAAGACTTTTCTGACTTAAAAGACTTAATCAGGGTGGCTTGAGGCCTATGATGTAAAGAATCTTTTTTTTTCTTCATTGTTGTTTTGATGGGGAAGGATGGAAACTCCCTTTTTGTGCTAAGAGTTGAATGCAAAGTCTTTGTTCTATTTAATGTCATGGAGATCCTCAAATGTTCAGGGAATGAGAGTCGCCTCCTTCCCAAAAGACAGTTAACTTTCAATTATTTGATGGCTGCTCCCCCAGGATCTCGAACATGATTGTCAATTCCGATGGCTCCTGGGGTATTTATCGCACTTGCTAACACTTGCTTGGTCTTTAAGATTTGCAGTGTGCTTCCCCCACTGTGGAAGTTGGGTGCTAATGCACGTCACTCACTGAGAATGCTGTGGGCCAGTGCAGGTGCCTTGGGCTGCTGAGCCAACGTGAGCCTTACAGGCTTGCCTGGGGTCTGTCCGCTCACTGGGAGGGCTGCGCATGACTGGGCAGGTGTCCCCCGTCCATAGCTTCAATGTCCACTGAGCAGGTGGACGGTGCAGGTGGCACGCAGAAGTCACCCTGGTCCCAGGGGCTGCAAAGATAGGTGGAGGGGTGAAGAGACAGTCCCTCATCAAAGCTCCATTCCCTAGGCCACCCACAGGCCCCTGTTCAGAGGGCTCCTTGATCCCCCAGAAGCTGGACAAACTGGTTTGGAAATAATGTTAATAGAAGCTTTTCAAACTCCTGTTTCTCCTCCCCTATTTGATTCACCTCTCAAATCTCGGTTGTTTCCCTCCCTCCCCCAGCTCACTGCCTTCTCTGCCAGCTTCTGTCTGTCTGGGTTCTCTAGGACAGCTCAGCTCCCTCCTGGACAGACTCAGGTCTCTCTGCTCTCTTGTCCTGTGGTTCACCCTCTGCTTCTCCTTTTCATTCTTCTCCTCACTGCTGAGACACCAGTACACTGCAGCCCCGTCCTTTCTGCCTTTTCTTGCCTCCCCATGGTACCCATCCCCTCCTGGCACAGTCCCATCTCCATACCAGCCTCCCCAATGAGGAAAGCTGGTACATGTTTGCGCTTGTTTTTGTGTTCGAGGTCAGCCGGCAGACCTTGGGGCTGTACAGAACTGTTTCTAGGATGAGCCCACACACATGCAGTGGCACACACAGACACACTTCCCTTCAGCAGTCTTCGTCTTCATCTCAATACCAGAGCCCCTGTTTTATCCTTCTTTTATAAAACAAGAATTTATTGGGCGTCTACTCGATGCCAAACGCATTCTGGATCCTGGGGATAGAGTAGTGATCAAGACAGATAAAAACCTCTACCCTCGTGGAGGGTACAGTGTAGTGGGGAGTGGAGGGCAGCAGGGGCACAGAGGAGAGCTCCAGATAGAGGGGAGCATCGGGGCAAGTTTAGCATATCGAGGGACATATTGGTGTAGAGCTGCCCTGAGCCGGGGTTTGCTGGTAACCCCAGCTGGAGATGCATACTCGCGGTCCCCATCCTCCAGGCTGGACTGGGCTCTCTCTGCCGGGGCTGTCGCAATCCTCTGGAGCTAGACTGGCTTCCCAGTGGCAGGATCCTGGCTGAGGACAGGATGATCTGTCATGGGAGGACTCAACGGCTTAGGAGTCCTCATATCCCCTGCGACCGGGGAGATCAGAGTGGAAGAGTGGGGCCTTTAAACTCTCCAACATGATGCCCTCTTTGAGGAGGTTGGCCAGTCTTGAACCTCTGCACATGAAAGCAGCCTTTGGAAAAGGGGTCTTTGTTCAGGCAGAGCCCAGGCAGGCAGGAAGCTGTGGAGCACCACTTGAGGACACAGGTGCTGGCCTGCCGGCCCCGTCCTTGGACACCCAGGGGGCCCAGAGGGAGGAGGAGGATGTGCCCGAGGTGTGTGGGACATCGTCCCTTCCTGGGCCTGGGGTCCGAGGAGGCAGCTGGCAGGGCACAGGCCAGTGGTGGGCCTCGTGTGGTGGCATTACTGCTCTCCGGGGGCCTCCAGGCGTGGCTACAGTGCATGCCGGTGCCCACCCCTTGTTGACCAAGCCAGGGATGAGAGCCTGGCCCCTGTCACCCCTGCTGGGCGAAGGGAACAAAGGCAGCGTGTTCTTCCTCCCTGCCTGACCAAGGAAATGTGACTGTTTGCTGAGGTCTGTGCTGCGTGCACGCACACCCCAAGGTGCCGTCACCCCCAGCTTGGCACTGTGCTCCTGGCTGCTGTGTATTCACAGAATCAAAGAGATTGTTCTCGCCCCATGAAGAGACAGAAGGAGGCAAGCAAACAGGATTTATGCTTCAATTACATTTCCTTGAGAGCAGGCACAAAAGGCGTGCGTTGCTGTTGTTCACAAGCCTCCCACAGCCCCAGCCATCGACTCTCCTTTCCTCTTGTGTTCATCCTGCCCTTGCCTCCCCACATGAGGCCGCCCCTGAGAGGTTAAAGGGCAAGCCAGGGTCTGGGGCACAAACGCAATTGTCACATGACTTTCCTGTTTGTGGTCATCCTCTGTCACCATCAGAGAGCTCCTGCGAGTCATCAGATGTGAAAACAGATGACACCCTGGTTCTCTTTGTCACCTGGGCATTGCTTCAAAAACCTGAATCTTTCTGTCCATGACAAGCAAGGGGGTCCCCTCCAGAGATGGCTTCCTTTATCCTTCCTGAAGCTCTGAATCCTTCCTGGCCATTGGTGTTTATCTTTTCAAACAGAGAGAAAAATCAAGATGTAAGCCATCCTTTCATCCCTAAGGAAAGAGGGAGGAGTGGGGGTTGACCTATAAACAAAGGAAATTAACCAGGCAAGGCCTCCATTGAATGAAGCAGAGGCACCTGCAGTGTTTAGGGTCGGGAGTTGGTGGGGGGGCAGCTTTTATGTTGTTTTACCTTATTTGACTTTATGCTAGGGACAGGACATCTTTACAAGTTCTCATTCTTTGTAGCATGTTCCTTAGCCGGACTCTGAGACTTCAGGGGGCCTCCTTTCTTCTTGCTTGAACCCTAGTGAGTTATTCCCATTTCCGTACTCACCTCCTGAAAGATGACCTCTCCCAGGTTCAGGAGAGTGCTCTGGGTGGCCTTCCTGAGATCCCCAGACCTGTGATCCCCATGGCCCTGGGAGGGGTGAACATGCCCACCAAGCCGTCCGTCCTGGTAGGAGACCCGAGAGATGACACTTCTTTAAAATTCATCTGCTGTTTCTCATTGAGCTGAAGCCTCACCAGCTTTCCCCCTGGATCTTGTGAGCAACATGGTTGCCTGATACCGTTCTCTCCATCAATTTAAAACCATTTCCCCAAGATCCCAAAGTAAGTGCCCTGTGGGGTTGGAGATTGAGGTATCATGAGGTATGTGACAAAAGAGGCATCCTCCAGGGTCATGGGCTAACTTACAGGCACAGCTTCTAAACCCTAGGCCAGGATTTACACCACTGAGTTTGTTCTTGGTTTGTCTTCAAATAGACTTAAGAGAAAAGTAGAATTTAAATTATAAGTCATGGCACAAATATTGCAAGGAAGGATGCAACCAAGAATTCCCTAACTAGACTGCCTTTTCTTTAAAAAGGCCTTTGGGGTCTCCTCTAGCTCAGACTGTCAATGAACCAGGCAGGTAAGCCAGGTCTAGTTAGATAAAATGAGGAAAATCCAGCCCCAAACTTGGATGGTTCATTATTGGTTTTCCCTAGAGTTTTCTCTGGCTGGGGGCATCAGGCTTTAGAAGGTGGGATCCAAAGACCTGTGATCTAGTTCTGGCCCATCCTCCAGGACTTTGGTTGAATCACACAGGCTTACTGAGCTGTTGGACAGGAGGGTGGTGCTGAGGGTCTGCCTGCCCCGGTCAGCCAACATAGGGCTGTGGAGTGACCTGGGCTCTAGGAGTAAGAGGCCGAGCTCTGCCTCCTCCCTGCTTGTACCTCTCAGGACCTGGTTCTCTAGATGGGCAATCACAGTGCTGGGTACTCCCCCTTCCCTGTGCCACTGTAGTGATTTATCATGAAGAGTAGGTCAGGCATGGTGGCCACAAGCCCTGCAGGAATCAGCTCTTCCTTTTGGGGGGACTCATCCAAAGATGAGCCCAGCTGTGACCTAGGTGATGCCAGATGGCATATGCCCACCCCTTCGAGCCATCATTTATCCTTGGCCCCATTCTTCTTCCCATAGGTACTTGGCGCTATATGCTTACAAGCCCCAGAAGAACGACGAGCTGGAGCTGCGGAAGGGCGAGATGTACCGTGTCCTAGAGAAGTGTCAGGATGGCTGGTTCAAGGGGACATCCCTGAGGACTGGGCTTTCTGGGGTGTTCCCAGGAAACTACGTGACGCCCGTCTCCAGGTGAGGCTGGTGTCGCTGCCCAGGAACGCACACCCACCGCGTTCCCTGCAGCGGGTTACCACCTGGAGAGCACGCTGTGGCCTGAGCAAGCCAAAAACCACACGGTCCAGAAGTCAGCAAGGGCTCCCCTGCCCACAGCGTTTGGCCACATGAGCTCAGAGTTCCCCTTGGGTGAGGGCTCCACATGGCAAGCTTTTCCCCTTCTGAATTAGGTTTTGCTTGTCATTCCCTCAGCAGACATGGCTGTGAGGGGAGAAGATGGGAGGAGAATGAGCTGGAGTCGGGGCAATGGCACTAAATGACAATGGAAATTCTCTCAAGAGAGTGAGCTCTCCAGTGTGTGTGTGTACGCATGTCCCTGTGCCTGTGCGTCCCATGTGAGTACAGCTGGTGTGTGTGTGTGTGTGTGTGTGTGTGTGGAGAGAGAGAGAGAGAGAGAGAGAGATACATGTATATCTGTTATGCATAAAACACACGTATGCGGGGGCACCTGGGTGGCTCAGTGGTTGGGCCTCTGCCTTCGGCTCAGGTCATGATCTCAGGGTCCTGGGATCGAGTCCCGCATCGGGTTCTCTGCTCTGCGGGGAGCCTGCTTCCTCCTCTCTCTCTCTCTGCTTGCCTCTCTGACCACTTGTGATCTCTCTCTGTCAAATAAATAAAATCTTAAAAAAAAAAAAACCACACGTATGCATACACACAAAGGAAAAACATTCTCAAAAGCTAACAAGTGTTATTGAGTGATGGCATTAGGAGTAATTAAAAATGTTCTTCTTCCTTGTGCTTTCCTATTTTTGCAAATTTCCTGTTGTGTCATTTTTGTAAAACAGAAAATATAATTTTAAAAGTTTGATCAAGAAGTTCTCTGGAGTTGCCTGAGAATTTCCCGCTAAGATGAGGGGTCGACTGCTGATTTTATTTGCCCGTCTCCCTTGCGGAAACCATTCACGGGCAGAACTCTGGGTTACCTACAGCACAAGCACATCAGCTGAAGACATGGCCCTAGGTTTCTGCTCTCTCTGGGACAAGACTGAGAGGAAGACAATTAAATAATGCCTAGACTTGCACTGATGACTCGACTGATTCATACTTTTCAAAGCACCCCGAGGAGTGCTGCTGGCCCTGTGATGGGCTTCCTTGTATGTCATTGGACCCTTGCTGGAAAGGCCCATAATTTGTGAGTCCGCTTTGTTCAAGCTTTACAATTTGTTTCCTAGGGTAAAAGTGAGTTCAATAGGTAACAGATGTGATTTAAAAAGAAAAAAAATCAGTGGTGCAATCATTTGAGCATCTGACTCTTCGTTTTGGCTCAGGTCATGATCTCAGGGTCATGAGTACGAGCCCTGTGTCAGGCTTCATGCTCAGCACATAGTCTGCTTGAGATTCTCTCTCCTTCTCCCTCTGCCCCTCCCACTCATTCCCTCTCTCTCAAATAAATAAATCTTTTAAAATAGTCATGGTTTTGGCTGGTCCACTGACAAGGTGCCTTGCTACAGGTGAATTTCAAGGTAGTTCTAGGGGCTGAGAAAGGAAGGCTCTGCCTGTGGTCCCTGGACAGCTGAGTCCTTTTCCAGGAGGCCCTTCTTCCTATGGCGGTTCTTCAGAAACCCTGATTTAGTGGGGCGCAGCCCATCCCTGACTAAAGTTCTGGTCCAGCGGTACCAAGCTGCACGGGGTATGGCTCCCCGACCTGGTGAACCACCTGGCAGTACCTCTTCTCATGCTCGCATGGCTTCTGGTGTCTCATGACCAAGATTCTGAGAGCTCAGAAGGGGACTTTACCCAGCTCTTGGACAAATGGCAGACATTTGATCCCTAAAACTGAACCCACAGAAACTTCAAGTCCCCATATTCTGCTGTGTGGGGCACACTCACCACCAGTGCACAAGTTTGGAGCAAGTACATGGAGGTCAAAGGGCTACAACCCATTTTCAGAGTTGTGTTCCTCTTCCATTTCTTAAATGCTGGAAACTGGTTTCATCTGGAAACTTGGGGTGAAAGGGCATCTATTTCTGGTATGAAACTACATGTTCCCTGACATCTGTCAGCAGAACGTGGTCTGCGCCCTTTCCCAGAGGCTGGCGGAAATGAGAAGGTGGCCGTGTCTGGAGGGGAATGGGTGCTTGCCACTGCTTCCCACCATGTGCCAGATACATCCAAGCCTTGTGGGATGTGGCTGAGTCATCCACTCTTTCTGGATGTGTGTGGGGACAGACACAGCTATTTATTAGAATGAATCAGGGCAGTAGCTCTGGTACAAAATATTTGATTGGTATTGGTTCTTTGGGTTCTTTTGCTGTTTCTTACCTATTTACATTGAAAATTTGCCCCCATGAAGGTTTCATAAAGGTTGCCCCGCTGCCAGGCTTGAGCTCTGGGCATCCTTTACCTACAGGATTGTCTTGGCATTGTTTTAGTATTTGTGCCCTGGGCTGTGTGGCCTTCATCTCTCAAAGCCAGGAGGTAAGCGTGGACCTTTATTAATGGATTGTATTGTATGGTTTCCTCTGTGACCTCACCTGAATGATTCTGTTTTATTTCCTCAGGGCTCCTGTAGGAGGGGCTGGGCCACCCCGGAATAATGTTGTTGGAGGTTCTCCGCTGGCCAAAGGGATGGCCACAACCATCCACCCAGGTGGTGGAAGTCTGAGCAGCCCAGCCACTGCCACAAGGCCGGCCCTTCCCCTCACCACACCCCAGGCCCAGCACCAGACGGCCTCTCCCCTGATGGCCACTTGCCTGCGGCACACAGCCCAGCCGGCCACCAGCCAAGCCCGGGGCACCGTCCCCACAGGTATGTGCAGCCCCTGAGGTCTCACTCTGTAGGAAAATTTAACAAGGGGTTCTCATGAGAAACTTGTTGACCCAGGTTTCAAGCAGTCCATGATGGGGCAAGTTATATTTGCCTATCATGATCATAAGCTTTTGCTAATCTCCAGGAAATACATTAACTTATGTTACCCTGTCCTGGCAACTGAAATGGATTAGAGAATTCTCAAATATTGATACACTTCACTGTAGCAAGAGGACTGCATGGACCCCTAGGATTAACCCACTGACACCAGTATCTGGGCCTATTGCGCAGGCCCTCCACGTGTCGGGCACTGAGGGGCTCCCCAGCTAGGCAGCTGCTCACCAGACGGAGCCAGCCTGCTCCTTCTCGGAAAGGCTTTGAGGCTGGAAGCAGTGATGGTCATTGACCCTTCACGTTTAGGCCAGCTTTATCAATAGCCAGGCTGATGTAGTTTAGGGGAAATCCAGTTGATCTGAGGACAGTGTGAGATGTAGACAAATTATGGGGCAGATCTTACAGGCATAAAGAAGGTCAGCACGTCTGGCTTGGAAGCTTAGCCCTGAGCTATTAGGAACTGCTGAAGTGTGGCTCATGGCACCCCTCAAAACCCACACCAGTCGCCTTCCCAGACTGTGGAGCCAGCGACAATGTCACTGTGTAGCACAGGAACCCAGGACAGTAAGCTGTGACTCTGAATTTCATTTAAATGACAGAATTCCAGCTCCAACCCCAAGCTTACTCTCTCAGAAATCATCTCTCTTCTCCTCAGAGTAAGGCTTAAAGGACAAAAAGTGTCGACTCTCTGGAGCAATAAAATACACGATTTTTTTTAGAAACTAGCCGGCCAGGAGATGGCCCATTAGAAGTGCTCCAGAAGGCGCCTTCTCAAGTGTGAAAAGTCAAGATAATACTTAGCACAGCAGGGGCCATATTTTCTCCCAAGTCATGGCTGATGGGACTAGAGGGTGGGAGAATGATGTCCGCCCTCCCACCTATTCTGGGGAAGTTGGCCTGCACGTTCCCATGCTGCCGCTGGTTTGGGCTTGCATGCGGCAGCAAGGACTTCTGAGACCATTCAGGTGTCCCGGAATGTGACATGAACATTCTGAGTGTTTTAGAGGACCGCTTCCATCAGCATGCTCACTGACAAAACAGGACCCTGTTCCTGCTCTCAGCTCCCACACACTGGCAGAGAGGCAATGCTGCCAGGCAGGGAGGCTTTGAGTGCTGGTGGAGGAGAGTCCAGGGTAGGACATTGGTGATGGGGGAGATTGGGAGATCCTCCTCAGAGGAGGTTGATCCCAGACTAAACAGCAAAGTAACACTTGGGTCGGGGAACAAGGAAGGGCACCATTTGAAGCAGGAAGAAGGAAAGGAATAGTCAAACAAGTGACAGAAAGCATGTCTTATGCTTGCAGCAGTTCAGTGAAGACAGGGTGAACACAGAGTGAACACAGGTCTGGCTGAAGGCATGAGCTTGAGACCTGTGTTTGGAGGCTGGGCTGCCATTGGTTTTGCTTGCCTCAGTTTCTCCCTCTGTAAAATGGCACTTACCTCTGGGGCATTGTGTGAGGACTGTCTCACGTGGCATATCTAGTGTGTATTCAGTTCATGTAGCTATTTCTATTCTTCTGTTAAAGAAGAAGAATATCACCGCAGTGCTCAGTGCACAAAAGTCCAAAAAGTAAAAATAAATTATTACTGAAGAATCTAGGGGGTTGAATTCTCTCATGAAAGCCATGGGAACTCACTGAGGGATTTTACACAAGAGGGACAACACTTTATCAAATATCACCATGCATGGTAGGGAGGAAGAATTGGTGTGGGGCAGCCCAAAACTGGGAGCCATTAGAGTGGTGTTGCTGTCCCCGTGTGACAGATCAGAGGGGCCCAGACCCGAGGAATGGGGCTTCCGAATTGAGACAAATGACGGGATATTTAGGAGGCAGAATGGTTATGACTTGGAAATGGGCTGATGCTCAGGGAAACCAAGGAACCAAGTCCACTTGCCAGGTTTCTGTACCAATGACTGGGAGAACGACAATGGCATCCCTGGCCTGGAAGATACCAGCAGGGACTAGTTTATGGTGGAAGACAATGATGTGACTTTGCAGAGTGCAATGGGCTAGTCATGCTGTGGCCCCCACGCTGATTTGGATCCCCGTCCTTACATGGGGCTGGTATCCCTTGTGTGAATCCTGCCTCACCATGATAGAAGGTTGATCCTGCTGGTCCAGCTCACCTTGTAGTAAGCGCAGACACGTGACCCAGATGTTGGGAATAGACATGCGATCTAGATGCTGGGAGTAGGCATACCTGCATATGATGTGACTTCCATTCAGAATACAGACATGAGGGGCCATTGTAGATCCTTTTTGGGAGAGAAGGTAGTGGTGAAACAACTAGCTTTTCAGGGGGCAGCAGGGTGGACATCTGGTGGTGTCAAGTGCCGGTCATCAGTGGGTGTAGATAAACTTCTGGTGTGTGGGGCTTAGTCATCAGTGCATTCAGGGTAAACTTGTGGTGTCTAATAACCAGTCATCTGTGGGTGCAGGGTAGACTTCTGGTGTCCAGTGCCCGGTCATCAGTATGTCCAGACTCATTCTGGAGAGTGTCCATTTCCTGTGGCAATGGGATATGCACCAGGGAGGCCTCATGGGTGGGCTTGGCACTGATAGAGTCTCCAAGAATGACTGTGCCATCCCAGAGACTCTGTAAGTGCCTAACAGTCTTTCATATATGTCTCTTTTGCTTACGTTAGCCAAGAATGAGTTCTGTTTTTGCAACTCTGGCCCACAGAGAAGAACTAGTTGTCTTTATAGTACAAGAGTTCTGCAACAATATTATCTGGTGCCAGCCATCTTGCCCCCAACAATGACCTCCCTAATGAGCCATGCTTGTAGCATGGCTGAAGTTCATCTGATGGTATTTATTGGTAGCCTCTAGCTAGATACACAGCCACTGTAGTGGCCAAGTGATTAAGTGAGCCCACAGCAGGGCTTCCTGACTGGTTTTCCATGACTGGGTCAGAAGTACCCAAGATCCTGACCTCATTGCCTCGTTGACCCTTGGAGCAACCAGGCAGGACCTGGGGCAGATAAAGTCCCAGGTCAGGTCCCAACTCTTCGATTCACCCCAGTGTGCCACACACACGATATGTGCACCACAATTTGGAGAGGTTGGGCAACCCAGGTCTTCACTGGGAGTGAATATTCCAGCACAGTAGCCCTGGGTTATCTGCACAAAATGCCAGTATGATGGCCTTTCTAAGCCATGCCTTGCTAGCAACTTTCCCAGTTCAAAGAAGAAAATGAGACCTGCCAGTCATTTCTCCCTCTATGGAATAACAAGCAGAATTGAAAGAAATTGGTATGGCCAGGAGCAGTACAACGTTTCATCTCAGTCATTGATCACCATAGTAACCACCATGGTGTGACAAGCATTCTCTTCCATCAGTCTAATTTTACATATGGGAAGAGTGAGGCACAGGATGTTTAAAACAGCTTTCCCAATGCATTCCAACCTCATGCTTATCCCCACACTCTTGCTGTCACAGTCAAGTTAAAGAATGGCTCCTACCACATCATATCAGTAAATTAAATGCCACTGAGTTCCCATAGCATTTTCCACTTCATTCTGCATTTAGAGAGGGAAAAAAAAAAAACAACATACTGTTGACAGTACAAGTAATGGATTGTTCACTGCAGTAATTGCCCATTTCAGCAGACCCCAACCCAGGCAGTTGAGAGGCATTTCATCAATGTTCTCATCTTGAGCCAAAGTCAGGCAGTTTGACAAAGGCTTAATTGCATTGGCCATAGCATCCAATATGATTTGTTCTGCTTGATTAATGTAACTCCTTTTTCCAAGGGCAGAGCTCTCCCTGTGAAGTGCCAGTGTCCACACATCCTCATCTCGGTATTTAGCAGGGCCAAGAGACTTGTACAGCCATTTATTCAACAGTAAAAAGAAAAAAGAAAAAAGAGCGAGCGAGCGAGCAAATCACTGAAAAAAAGGTAGATACTCTGCTAGGCTCTGGAAATGCATAGAAGAACCACATAAACCCCAATTCTACATCCAGTTATAGAGAACGACAAGAAAACAAATTCTTGCAATAGAGTTTGAAAAGCACTGTAGCAGAGGTATCGAGAGGGTAATAAGAAAGCATGGAGGAGAGATACGTAACTCAGATTGGGGAGGAAAATGAGAGAGTGAAAAATTTTCAAGAGGTGTTGATCTTGCCTTGATTCTTAAAGTACAAATAGGAACTATCTGAGCAGACAAAGCACAAAGAGAGTTCTAGCAGAGGGACTAGCAAGGACAAGGACGTGACAAGGAGAGATACCGGAGTTTCTATTTTGGGTAACTTTATTTATTTTGCTGTGACTGAAACAAAAGGCATGGAAGGAGAAGACCAGGGTGTTGGTGACAATTTCTCTGCAGAGGCAAAATTTAATTTTTGGTCTTAAAGCTGGCATGCAGCAGGGCAGCCCCTGAGGGTGGAAGCATGGGGAAAACTCCAAAGCTGGCAGAAGACTAGGGCACTTGAAAACTGAGATGAAGTCAGGGTGGAAGTATGAAGAAAGGAGAGGATGAATGCCACTGGCAAAGCTGAAAGGTAAACAGGGGAAGATCATGGAGGTTCCTTTAGACTATGTTGTGCAATTTTGGTTTATATCCTAAGGGACACATCAGAGGGGTTAAATAATAGATATAGTTGGATTTTTATGTCTAAAGGATAAAGCTGGGCTTCTACTTATGACCAACCTAAAATAATGAGGGCAGGATTTATCAACCTGCCAGAAACAGTTTAAAAGAACAAAAGTTTGCAAGATGCCAAACACTGGAAAACCAAGGAAAGTGATCCATGAGAATAGCAAACGAGGAGTTGAGCCCCAGCTTACTGGCTGGAGAGAGGTTCCAGACTTTGGCACAGGGAGGAGTAACAAAGTAGAGCACAGTGAGCTTCCTGATGTGAGGATGTGGTATGAGAGTCTGGA